TTAAAATAATAAAATATTAAAATAATAAAATATCAAAAACAGTTATATAAATGTTATAGAAATTCAAGAAATTTCAAGAAAGCTCTCTAATTAATTGCAAATTTCTTGTTTTGATCTTGTCTTAATTCAAGACAAAACCAAGACAAGATTTCTTGAATTTCTTGATCTTGATGAAACACTAGCAAGTGCGTGTACATTCGCTCATATTAGTCTCAAATTGAACTTACAGATAATATTTTTGTTAATTTGATAATGTTTTTGTTAATATGAATTATCTAATAAAAAAATCTAAGATATTCTCTCTATATGCATCAATCGATTTTAACAAAAAGTTTTTATCTAGAAAATTCTCTCTAATTAATTGCAAATTTCGATAAGTAAAATGCATTTACATTAATTCTATTGAAAATTATGTGTATATCCGACCGAGAATATTGCATAAATGTGATAATGTCGACAAGAATGCAAAAACATGTTTGTTATTAATCGCGTCAAAATGACGTACATATAATAAATAAGAAAAGTCGGAAAAGAAGATAAGTTCCTTCATTATAAGTTATTCGAAGATAAGATATTCTTTTGTTGTATATTGCGTGAAGATATCTTTTAGCATTTGCATGTACATACATTAAGAATACTTTTTTATTTTACACGTACATAAAGATAATCTTTATACAACTCCTATAGTGAGGAAATGTATCTTAACAATAACTTTATTTTGTGCAGATCATAAGGCTGACTTTTTCTTCTAAAACGTAAAAATGCAAATATAATATATACACGAGAAACAAAGAATCAGATTTTTGTTTTACGCGAATGATACTTGAACAAAGTCAACCTTGAAAAATTTCTTGTTACGTTCTTGTTAGAAGAAAAACATTAATTCTATAGGCAATAATAAAAAAGTCGTACTAGATTACTATTATTAAGTAAAGATAGTTAAATACGAAAGCTAAATATCTTTTGATACCTAATATTTTTATGTAAATTTTAAATACATTTTTCATTTTTATGTAAACTGCGCGTCAATTACTGTTGTTTAAAATACAATCACAAACTAAAGCTGAAATATTAAAATTACAAATTAAATTGATTTAATAATGATAAATATCTTAAAAACTTGCGAAAAATATCATCCGGACCATGTGATTAGTGATGGGTATCAAGATGCTTTGAATTAGTTCGAATATATCACAAAAAATACGAATTAATTTGAATACAAAATTTGAATTACAATCTTAAGAATCTTTTGAAGGTTTTGAATGTTTTGAAAAATCTTGAATCTTTTAATAAATTTTAAAGAGAATAAAATGTTAGAGAATAATTTTAGTTTAATTTTAGAGAATAAAAAATATTAAATAAATAATTATAATACGTCAAAGAAATGATGTTCAAATCAAAGAAACTTTTCTTTAACCGTATAGAGAGCAAGTTCAAATTTCTTCAATTCAAACAAATTTTTTTTTAATAAAAAAAATCGAGAATTATTAGACTCATCAAGACTTTCAAGATCTATCAAGATTTTCAGGATCTTCAAAATCTATTAAGACTTATAAGTTTACATCTTCGAATAATATTTGAAATGTTTCGAAGCAGAGCAATGGCTAAATTGATTGCAAATTCACAAGAGATATGATTGAATACCCATCACATGTGATATTTTGCTCAGTAAATTCTTTGTAGATTTTTAAGATGCTTATCAGCATTCTTATTAAATTAATGATCAATTTATTTAATTTGTGTGTGATTTTAATATTTCAGTTTCAATTTACGATTACGTTTCAAATCCGTAATCGGTGCGGAATTTATAAAGATGAAACGTATTTAAAATTTACATAAAAATAAACATCTTATAAATCCAGCTTCGATCGTATTTAGGATTTTACTTATTTAATTCTATAGAATTTTATAAAATATCATGCAATAAAAGTATTGTATAATACAATCAAACTGATATTAATATCAAACTGATATTATTATTATTATTATTATTATTATGTGAAGTATAATACCGGCCTTGCAATGTAGTACCCACTTGTTATTCTTTGAAATCTCGTGTGTGACTAACACAGTCATTTGCATCATAATGTGATAGAACGGATAATAGAAGAAAACATATTGCGTGATAAAAGTGGTTTCATAATATTTCAATAAATATGCGCATAATTTTCTCTTTAAATTGAATATATAAATTGATATAATAAAGAAATATTATATTAAAAAAGTATTATTTTAACATTTTAAACTTGATTTTTAAAATTTCAGTTGATGGGTTTAGAAATTCCAACAGATTACGGAGGTGCAGGTTGCAATTTTATGAGCACAATTTTAACCGTCGAAGAAGTTGCGAAAGTCGACGGAGCCGTAGCTGCTCTCGTAGACATTCATAATACTTTGGTTAACTCGCTTATTATTAAAGTTGGATCTAAGGAACACAAAGAAAAATATCTGCCTAAATTAGCACAAAAATATGTACGTTTGTCATGCCTTCGTTACTGATGCGTAAATAGAAAAACAGAACAAGACATATACGACTGCGATATTTTTTTTAGGCTGGTAGCTTTTGCCTGACGGAACCTAATTCCGGATCAGATGCGTTTGCTCTTAAAACCATAGCGAAAAAAGATGGTAGCGATTATGTAATAAATGGAACAAAAATGTGGATCTCAAATTCCGACATCGCGGAAGTGTTCTTGGTTTTCGCTAATGCAAATCCATCCACGGTGAGCAAAGTTTTATGTATTATGTAAAAAAGAAACATGGAATCATTAATGTAATCACGTAACGCTTTTTTAATTAAATAGGGATACCGCGGCATTACGACTTTCTTCGTGGATCGCGATACGCCCGGTTTGACTGTAGGTAAACCTGAAGACAAACTAGGCATCAAGGCATCTGGAACTTGTATGGTTCATTTTGATAATGTCAGGGTATGTAAAATTATTTAAAAAATCGTGCATGCAGTTATTGGATCTGTTTTTTGTTCCTGAATTAACGTTTGTATTTAAAGTAAAATAGATATAGAAGAAACCGGAGCACTATGAGTCAACGATTGTTCATTAGTTAAATATAATCTAGAATAATTTAAATTGAATACGATAGAGAACTTTAACATGGTTTAAAATTTGATTTAGGAAGGATTATTAGCATTTCAGATTGATTGTGTTGAAAGTTCGAAAAATCTTCCACGCGCAGTCATATCTGAAATAAATTGATTTAATATAAAGAATATATTATTCGAAACATCTAATTTTAAATCATGTTTGCGTTCTCTCGTATTTGTTGTATTTACGGTCGTTTCTTAAGTTTAAGTCTTAAGTTTAAATTTTGATACTACTAGTATTATACGACTGTTACTTCGTTGTCCTTTTACACTTTTATACTTTTTTCTAAACAGTGATTAAATTTTATTGTATAATTGTACAATGGGATGCCATGGATCACACATTAAATATTCATGATGAAACGGGACAATACAGAAAATATATGTATTAAAAGGGCAATTTATACTTCTAAGCAATTAATTTTATTTTAGCATAATAAATTTTGTATCTTATATTATTTATTTTTTTATTTGTTTTCTTCTAATTTTCTATTGTATTATTTAATAATTATTAGTTGTGATTAAATATATTTATATATTTTATTAATATATAATGACTATGCTAAGAATATATAAGAATGTATATGTTAATTGATGAAAATACTATTCAACTTTCGTCACCGTTATTTCTTGAATAATCCTACCATTTTGTATATGACTTATGATATCCTGGGTATAGGGCATTGAGTAATTTCTAAAAAAAATATATTTTTATTTTTTTCTTTAAAACTAATAAATATTTACTAAATATATTTATTCAATTTTTAAGTATGCATTATGCTTTAATAATTAAAAAAAAAGATACAAAAATTTTTATATTTAGTACTTTTAAGAATTAAAATTTTTGTGACTCATGGTGCCTTGGTCTTCCCTATCTATTTAAAGTTTAATGAAAGCGAAACAGAAAGTAGTTTTAGTGTAGTTCAGTATATAAAGAACAAGTTGCGATAAAGAATAGACTTTTTCTTACAACGTGTAAATACATCTATTATTGTATTTTTCTAACTTGTATCTTTTGTATTTATCTAACTTGTATTTTTTTCTAGGTACCTGAAAGCAATATTTTAGGCGAGTTTGGATACGGATACAAGTATGCGGCTGGTTTTCTGAATGAAGGTAGAGTAGGCATTGGCGCTCAAATGATTGGAATCGCGCAAGGAAGTTTAGATGCAACCATACCATATACGCTGGAAAGAAAGCAATTTGGAAAAGACGTTTTCTCATTCCAAGTATGCTTATTATTCAACGAACGAAATGTCCGTATAAACTTAAGATCTAAAAAATAATCTATTTTTAGGCAATGCAACATCAAATAGCTCAAGCAGTAACTGATTTAGAATGCGCCAGGTTATTGGTTTACAACGCAGCTAGATTGGTAGATGCTAAAAAAGATGTTATGAAAGAAGCGGCTATGGCCAAATTAATTGCATCTGGTATATAACTTGCTAATTTTTAATTTTTTAATTTTTAAATAAAAAAAATATTTACTTTAAACTTAAGACTATATATAGTAAAAGCTAATATATGTATATCATATTTATAGAAACTGCGTCACGTGTCACCACAAAGTGTATAGATTTTATGGGAGGTGTTGGATTTACAACCGATTTTCCTCAGGAGAAATATTATAGGGATGCCAAGATCGGCACGATTTACGAAGGTACAAGCAATATGCAGTTGTCAACGATTGCAAAATGTATACGCAAGGAATATTCGTAAATTAATAATCCTTAACATGACATTATATGTATTTACAATACAAGATTATTTTTTACATATATTTTTAATACTAAAAATTAGAGAAAATAGCATATGTATTATTCAGAGAGAATCAAAGGAGAATGAAGCAGAATTCAGTCGGAAGTCGCCGTTCATTGGAGTGAGTAAAAGATACGGTAAAAGATAAGATGGAATATAATGTTGCACACAATTATTGTACCGCGTTAGTATTGTGTATGTGTATACATACAGGATGCGTCACTAAAATCCAGACAAATTTCAATTTAAATTTTCCGTTATATTGTGCATCCACCAGAGGTTGTTGTTGGCGTCCGAGAAAGCCTGATGCTTCTAGTACAGATATATTCTCAAAATAACCGCAATGTTGAAACCAAATGCGGAGTATAATCGAAGAGTCGCGATCATCGAAGGCCTTCGCGTTGGGCACTTAGTAAATAATTCGGTTCTTTGGATATCTGAAATCAACCATTTATGACGTTGTGGCAAAATATACGGCTTTAGAACAGTCCAATAAAGATTTCAATATGCTAGTAAGGAAGAGTCACTCAAAAGATTGCGAGGACTCTCGCAATTGTTGAAAGAGCTCAAACGTTGATTTCGGATGACCCAGGCAATCATTGCGAAAATTAGCATCAATTGTTGGTATAAGCGAGCCAATAATGCGTCGAATTGCCGAGGAGGACCTTCGACACACCAATCGTACATATTAAAGATATGACAAATGCTCTCTGAGGTTGCCATCCTGTATATGCATATTTGCGGAAGTGCACAATAAATGGCGGAACCATCAGAGAATACTCTTCATGTCACTCTCCCTTGATTCTCTCTATTTTTCCTAATTTAAAAATTCCTAATTAAAATATTTTTATACTTTTATATTTTAATATTCGAATACTAATATCAAATGTATAAGGGATATCCAATTCTGATATAAGTTTTATAAATCAATACAATCAAATAATATTTATTCGAGCTAACACAAGATGATAATGTGCAAATTGGTTTATTTAAATCAATAACATAATTATAATCGCAGATGTTTCGGATGTGAAGTCAGATGAGATTCAACGTCCAACGCGCATATGAATAGTTCAATAACATTTTGACGATTATTATATCAGGAAGTATAATAACATCACTGTTACTATTCTTAGATGATTGAATTCTGTTAACAATTTTACATGGAGCATTGATAAGGATCTGAAACAACATCAAAACATCTGTGATTATAATTATGGTGATTTAAATAAATCAATTTGCACATTGTCCTGTGCTGGCTCGAATAGGCATTATTTGATTGTATTGTTATATAAATCAATAACAAATACCGAAATTCAATGAAATAAATTTATTATAATATTTAGATATAAAACAATAGAGAGATGTACATAATAATACTTTTTATACTATTAACTACTATTATTATACTATTAATCTTCCAGCGGGCGCGCACATGTTCTCCGTACATGCGCGCCAATTTTATGAAGGGGATACAGGATAAAATCTATTTTCTAGATCTCGGCTTCCCAAGACATTTCTTTTCGTCGATTTGCTTAGGTTGAATTCTGTTAGCGTAGAATCAATTTTTAAAATATCAGGGCATTTTTTTCAGAAAAATGTTCCTGTGGAGGAATCACTCAATGCCGGTGAAAAGCGAGAGAGGTGTAAGTTGTGCAAAAATACAACCATCATCCTCAAATGCAACAAATGTTTTCATTTTACTTGTAAAAAACATTCGATGACAATTATTATTTGTAATAATTATACTACGACCGAAAGCGCATAAAACTTTTTTTTATTAATACATTTTCTAATAAAAGATAATACTTATTTTTTTAAACAAATGATTATTTAGATATCATAAATTTTTATCACATAATGCTTATTTAACGATTAGCTTTAATCTCTCGAATTGTCAGTCTTATTCTACGATGTTTTCTGTATACAGCGTACTCACTGGAAGGTTTATGATATAAAGAATAAAGATGTGATATATAAAATAAAATTACACGATTTTATCTTTCATGAAATTTACTATTTAAATTATCTTTATAGAAGTACAATAAATATAGATAGATATAGTCCAAAGTACAAATACTTCTATTACTAACAACAGTTTAAACATTTCTATTTTGGATTCATACATTTCATTTTGGATCATGAGGTAATTTAAAACCTACAAGATCCGCAGTTTCCTTTATGCTACGTTCACCTTTACCAGCGTATTGTTTATGAATATCCTTACATGCTCGCTGAGACTTCAAGTAGCAAAGATACATCTCTGCTAAGTTCTTTAATTCTTCTCGCGCTTTACATAAAACTTCAGAGGTTTCTTTATGGGCATGTGCTTGTTCCATGACATAATGTAACATTGCGTTCTCTTTTGTATTTTTAGTCTGTGAAACTCGACGCAGCTCTTGCACCAGAGAACGGACAATTTTAATATTACTATTCATTGTCGTTGTATTCTAAAAGCAAATTGGAATAATTAGTCGCTCGAGTATTGAGAAACAAGAATTACATTTTATTACACTGAATAACTCTGTAAGAACTAAAGAAGATAATTACAGTATCAAACGTCATTTGTCACTGCACAGCTGTAACGAATTCAACATCTTTCGTTAAATACTGTGGTTCCTCTTTAGAATTCCAGAAATCTGCTGGGACCTTAAGCAGATTTTGTCTTGTAAAGATATGAATATTAAGGTCGTTGAAAACTTCCTCGTACACGAAGGAATTTTCCAATCGAATCTCTGTAACATAAGGTCGAATGCGTAATATGTAGCCTGCTGTATTCAATACGTCCTTATGCAAGGAATTGTCGACGGTGTTTGAGAGACTGTTGGCCAGCAGGATGCAACTGCTCAGTCCATTACCCCAATTCGCATATAGGAAATTATTGGTCAGCTGCCGCGAGCAGTGCGGCATGTATATAAGGGTGGTCCTATCTCGTTGGACGACACGCTTGCCTTCCTCGTTTGTCTCTATGATCTCTAATCCCAAGGTACGCAAAGTTTGCACTTCCTCGGGATAGAACGCCGGATCGTATACGTATACGCGAACTGGCTCGTATCGCACCTTCAGACACAGCAGAAGCGCCAATTGGCATCTCGACGATCTATACTGCGAGAACTGTCCTAACCCGTAGCAGACTATCTCGGAAATACTGTTAGAGCCTAAAACGGCTAGGGATTCCGACAGCCGACTAAAAATGAACTTGATAAACGATGTGTCTCTGATTTCGACTACCGTCTTGTCTAACGTGCTGAAAGTCGCCGTAAAAGAAACGTGATTGCGATTAGAATCAATCAGGTTAAATGTAGGTCGCGATATGCATTAGATTAGGTTAGGTTAAAATTAAGTAAGGATAGCGAGACGCAACTGTGACATGGCTTACCGAAGAAGAAACTCGTGATCGACCTCACAGTCCTGTTCTACGATCACGCTCGACAACGCGTTTCTAAGTAAATTCCTTCTTCCGTTACGACGTTTTCCACGACGAGTCACCAATACGAAGTTGTCCGCTTCTGACATGACTGAATATGGCGCCGTTTGTTACTATTTACATTTTTCTTCGCTAGATGACGCTACCAACCGCGCTTGCTTTCACTTGTCTTTAGTGTTTTTTTAACAAAATCTTTCTTTTTATTGATTCTAAAAAAAAGATTCTAAAAAATTCTTTTTCATATAATGAGACGTCCACAATAGTGTGTAATTTAAATATAGGGAATAGCAGTAACCTACCTTATATATGCGTCAGCATATTATAATTTGTCCAAATTTTTATTTTAAAAATTGTATAAATTGCTAGACGCCTATTGTCGTCATTACATTATGTTTCTATTCCGAGAGTCTTGTATTTTCCTACGTTCTCACAATTACAAGAGTTTTTTTTAAGATTTAATATTTTTTATTTGTAATACTTTACCGCGTGTGAGGCCCATTTCATCAATTTAGCTTGGATTTTATTTACTCTTATATCTATTTTTTTAGGCATATTTTTTAAAAGTAGAATGAAAATAAAAATAAATTAAATTGAGATTAAAATTACTCTACAGTGGTAGAAATGGACATAATTAAATTATATATATGTATGCTTGTGCATTGATATTGCCACCTATTATATTATATTCTGAATGCAAATAATAAACGACGAGTTTCATTACGATTTAACAAAGTAAAAAACATCATAGCCACTTTTACCAGTAAATGCATTCCGACTATTTTCGGTGCAAAAGTATGACGAATGTAACAATACTTAAACAATACTAAAACGCTACATAATAATTATCATGACACCTAAGTGCCCAGCAAAAAGAGAATGGATTAAAATGGATTGAAATTTTTTTCTATCCGAATGCATGTTTTAAATAGCAAATACTTTTTTTGGGGTTTAATTGGATTTAATTGGATTCAATTAGATTCAATTGGATGCAATTGGATTAAAAAACTGCATTTTCTATTCAAAATTTTGAATTGAAGTATTTACAATGTATTGGGTGTGCAGAAAAAGCTAATATTATTTTTAGATTGAAAGGCATAGATGTGCTCCATGCAATTCCTATAAATGAATAAAAATGCATTCAGAATTGAAAAGCATTCATTTTAACATTTATAAATCAATATTTCTGAAAATCTGAATCTATTTCAATTCATTTCAATCCATTCTCGTTTATTGGGTGCACGAACATCGGTTTTTTTTTTTTCGCTTACGCCCATGGACTGTCTCGTGTCTCGCATGAAACGTACATACAGTCTAACGGGACAGTGCAAGGTAGTGGAAATGAGTCATTCGTTACCCGCCACGACCCATCGTGTATAACCGAGCAAATAAGTCGCAATCGTGCCGCGCCGAGGACGACGACTGCTTCAATAGTCGTCAGACCAATATAGAGTAACGTTAAACAAAAAAGTTTCCGCACTTCCTTTTCTCTCTTTCACTCCGATACTTCCGTTACAATTCGTCATAATATGACATCGGAGCGCTTCCCCGATGCGCTTTAATGCATTTGAAAAGTGTCCTCGAGAATGAACCTCCGCGCGTGCAAAGCCTACTTTTGAAACTTTGCCTTCGTAATAAAATTGACGATCAACTATTCAACTGAATAAAGCATCGTCCAAGAGTAAATAAGTGATTAATTTATATGATATTTGTTTTTGCAGGCGCCAGCTTTGTGCTTTCACGGATTCACGTCTCTCTCGCATTATAATGTGTTGCGCTTGAAACGACGAGTTGTTTATATGAAACGAGTAGATAACAAGATTTGGCACAGAATTTATTTTCGTGCCGCGTGTTGTGTGATGAAACGATAGAGTATATAACGTGTTTAATCTCGGCACAAATAAATGACGAAAATTGTTAAATTCCGCCGGTATCCACGGCATCGATATTCCGTGTATAATATACGTCGTATGCCTATCGCCTGCGGAGATTCTAAATTGTCATACACGAATACGTATAACGATGAAAATGTCGCTTAGCTAACCACACTTCGCAGCAGGTGTGCGAAAGGTGTCACGCCTTTGACTTTCGACTAATAACCGATGTGAATGATGTGATGTTACCGCAATGTCCCTCACCTCGAGAACAAACAGATGGGCCTCGAGAGTAATTATTATATTACAGCTGGTCACCTGGAACGCTGTTGGCATCATTCTTCTTCACAGAGGCGTCAGCACATTGCACAGGAGAATCTTGGAAACCAGCAATGTTATCGAGGTAATGGAGATAATTTTCTACTCTTGTTATGTAAATATACCATTATTACACATATATGCAATAATTGCATTTATAATAATTAATCTTCA